CATCAAAACCCCCCTCCTTGCTTTCTTCAAAGACTTTGAGAACAAAACTGCGGAAACCAAGCGTTTCAACAGATCCACTATGGTCCTACTGCCCAAATCTACCAATGCCCAATCTGCAGACAAGTTTCGCCCTATCGCCCTCCAGAACTGCCCCATCAAAGGCATTGCCAAAGTTCTTACCAACCGTCTAAAAACTTACATTCCCTTGCTTGTTCATGGGGACCAAACTGGTTTCATCTCAGGAAGATGCATTGCCGAAAACTTTATGTATGCAGCAGACCTCATAAATACTTGTCATAAAAGAAAAGCCACTGCGATGGTGCTAAAACTGGATTTCAGAAAAGCTTTCGACTCTGTGTCTTGGCATGCCCTTCTCCTCATCCTGCAGCATTGGGGATTCCCCAGCCGTTTTTGCTCCTGGATTTCAGACTTGCTTACCTCTGGCAAACCGGCTGTCATGCTTAACGGTGTTCAGGGTGATTGGATTAACTGCAAAAACGGCCTGCGCCAAGGCGACCCCGTGTCCCCTACCTTTTCATCATTGTTGCAGATGTTCTTTAGCAGCTCATTCTAACCGCCAACGCATCTTCCCCCGACCTTCGCCACCCGATCTACCCTGATCTCCCACCGGCCATTTTACAGTACGCTGATGACACGCTCATTATCACCCATGCTTCCCCTAATGCCGCCATTCTTCTTCGATCTCTGCTGGACCAGTTTGCTCAGGCCACGGGTCTGCAAATTAACTACTCAAAAACCACGTTTATCCCTATGAATCTAGACAATGCAATCACTCTCCAAATAGCTCAAACTCTAGATTGTCCTGTTTCCAGCTTTCCACAAACTTACCTAGCTCTGCCGCTCTCCCCAGTTAAGCTGACTGCTGCAGCCTTTCAGCCAATTATTACAAGCTGCGTTAGTTACCTCCCTGGTTGGTGTGCTAGACTCCTTTCTCGTCCCGGTCGTCTGGTGCTCATTTCCTCTGTGCTAGACTCGTTAGCTGCGTACTTCATGTCTGTCTTCAAACTGCCCAAAAAGACGATTAAAAAGTTGGATGCCATTAGACGTGCGTTTTTCTGGGCTGCCAATGAGACTTGTTCAGGTGCCCAATGCCTTATTGCATGGTCTAACATATGTAAACCAAAAGAGTTCGGTGGTCTAGGCATCAAAGATTTATCTATACAGAATGACTGCTTGCTTATGAAGTTTGCTTACAAATTCCTCGCCACCACCTCCCACCACGAATTACCTTGGGTTGCATGGCTAAACAGAGTCCACTTATACAGTATCCCACAGATAGCTTCATGCAAAAACCCATCCTATTTAACCAAGGCTGTGCAAATCCAACTTCAGACTCTCTCCTCCATCACCTTCATCCTCACAAACAACGGCCTTAAAACTTTCTTCTGGCATGACACGTGGCTTGCTCATGCTCCCCTTGCTCAACTTTTTCCAGGACTTTATTCTCATTCCACCAACAAACACATCCTAGTATTCCATGTCATGCAGTATGGGCTACTTACGAACCTAACGGATCGGCTAACCTCGGCCGCCTCGCGCGAGCTGGATGCTGTGTTGTTGTTATTGCAGGACTTTTCTCTGTCTCCGAGCCCTGACGAGAGGCATCTGATCCACGGCTCTTCATTCTCCTCGCGAGCTGCTTACAAGCTGCTCACTCATGAGAATCAAGAACATGATCACGCCGTCTTAATTTGGCGCTCAAAGGCGCACCCGAAGCTGAAGCTCTTCGCTTGGCTACTCTTCCATGGCCGCCTTAACACCAAGGCAAACCTGTTCCATAAGCACATTGGCATGGGTGCTAGGTGTCCACGATGCTCGGCTACCTCTGAGGATACAACACACCTTTTCATCACATGCCCTAAAGCATAGCTGGTCTGGCTGCAGCTCGGCCTCACTCCAACTGTCAGAACTCCAGATCTCTGGCTTTCTGCACTCCCACAAGGCCTTGACTCTTCTACATGGCCCGAGGTGCTTCTTGCAATTCTGTGGAAAATCTGGGATTCACGGAATGCTGTTGTGTTCAGGAATGAAGATCACACTGCTATCTTCACAATATCCAACATTTGTAATGACTTTGCTCTTTGGACCAACCAGTTCCATGTACCGGTAGATAAGGTTTCAGCCACATCCTGGCTGACATAC